GTGTGTGTGTGTGTTCATTCAGAGTTATAGAAGGGCACCTTGCAAGGTTATGCTTAAAAGGCTGTGTTTGTCCTTTTTTTATAGCTTGTCAATAAAAGCTTTTTATGACTTTGTGTCATTTAACATCAACATAAGATGAAATGAACGACTCAGATGGGATTTTGTTCATCCACTCAATGTTATTTGTCAGTGTGGTATCTTATAGAATTACTGTAGAGTAAACACTCTGCTGCTCTCAGGAAACTCAACAAGTAGACACCGAATTCACAGACCTGATTCATTGCCATGGTAAAAACATTGATGTTAACTCCTCCTGGTGTTAATTGTCAATGGTGTAAATCCGAAAGTGTTAAAATAGACGTTTTAATGTGGCATTTAAAATTAAACAAATAAACAAAAAACTTCTGTTTTACAGCCTCAGGTGATACGAGAGTTTTGACAAGTTAACAGTATCACGGTCGCCATCTGGTACAGAATGGTTGCATTATTTTTTTAACATTTATTTATCTTGGGTTATCACACAAATTTATTTGTCTTAGGTTATTGCACACATTATATTTAGCAGTCATCTGCTTCACATTCATATTGCCTGCATTCCCCTCTGCAACTGAGCTACCGTATAATGAAGCATCTGGGGATTTAGTAGATTTAGTGGGTTTAGTTTTCTTGTGCTCAGGCTTTTAGAAGCTCTTCTGTTACAAGTTTTTTTTAATATTATTATTTATTTATTGTCAAAACAATGGTAGGGAAGAAGAAAATTGACAAATAAATACATTAAAAAGAAAGTAATATGTATGTATAGTATGTATAAATAAAGAGACATTGCTGCTCTGTGACAGTACTTAAGCACAGTGGTGCTTTGAGCAGCTAAATGCTAAAATCAGCATGCTAACATACTCACAATGAAGTTAGCATGTATGTTTGCAATGGTAACCCTGACAATAAAGAATTGCAGTGGTCATCAGCATGTGAATGTATACTATTAGATTCAACACAAAGTGTAAATAACCCCATTTATGGTTTATACCTGAGAACATATATCCTATTAAAGTCATTTTTGTTATGTTCATTCCATGTTTTAACTGTCTTTAAGAATAGTGTAGACAGGCTTTTATTTTGAAGGCGGCTCTCTTTGGCACATAGTTTCTAGGTGTGTAGCAGAGCAGAGCAGAGAGGA